AATAGATCGATAGAGTACGCAGTAGAAAGAGAAATGTTAATGCAATAGGTCAAAAGGCCAAAAAAGTTTTAGTGAAGGCACTCCGAGAACCAAGTGGAAGCGTTCCCGCCGCCAGCATTTGTGACAGATGTACGGCGGGAATTTGAACGCGTAACAGTCCTTCCGGTTTTTCGAATTGTTTACCAAAACAAACGCAATTTTTCCGTTCTTTCCGTTCTTATCGTGAAGTATTGATCTCAATAGAAACGTGATTTTCCCGGTGAGGATTCCTTTGAGGGGGCCGCGTACGGATATCACTTCCTTTGTCTCAAATTCTTTAGTTAGAACATTCAAATGTGGATACGGTATAATAGGTTTAAGCATTGAGGTCTGAGCTCCTCTATGTTCTTCTTGGAATCCTAATGCATATCCTAACTGCTACAGACAGGCTACATATAATTGTTCACTACATTAGATAATCTGAAGATGAGGCGAGGCTGGTTCAAAGGTGTTTCACGTCTGATAACTGGATGCTTATTTAGGCATGCTGGGTGAGGATGGTGTAGTGGCGAGTGGCGGTGTTTACGTCGCGCGTGGGCCGGGAGTAAATCCTGGCTCGGATTTTGTTCGGACCACAAAGTTTTCCAACTCTCCGTGCCTGCTTAATGGGTATAAGATTTGCTGGGAGGTTGAAGATACCGACTTCTACATCGCCTGGCCACACAACTCTTGTAGTTTTGGATAGTCCAAATCGAGTTTGAATGCCACCACGCTTTGAGTGAAAGTAGAGTGCATGGCGCGTCCTAAAAAGAGATTGTTCAACACCGAATGCTTTATCCTTGTCCCGATCTGGCACTCAATCCGCAGAAGAAGTTAAAAAATCATTCGATCAACTCAGGAATGGCTCATCTGGTCCGCAATCGTGTGTTCATCAACACAGTTCTGAAAGATGTTCAAGATTTTCTGGCCGAGTTCAAAGTGGAATGCGTGGTACGGTCGCCTTTCTTCCTTTGATTGTAATGTATACGGTCATATGTACGGTAGCGGTACGTTTGCAGCCTGAGGTTGTTACCGATGACGATCTGTATCGCCCGGACAGTCCATTGCTCATGGAGATTGAGTCCGGTCTTCAGAAGAAAAGCGATCGAGAGGTGAGGCAGGAAAAAACCCGATCCTCCTTGTCCGAAGCAGTTCCATTTATTTTTGTAATTTTAGGAATCCTCTCGGCTCTACAAGGATTACTCATTTGTTTGGGGTTATACCACACCCATCTCCAACTCAGTCATCATGGAGTTCTCCTATGTACAGTCCACCATCGAGCGGTGCTGGAAGTCCTTCTTCGGCTTTCAGTACAAGCCCTTTAGCCAGGTATTTTGACTCTTTTGAGAAGGAATTCTTCGAAGGAGCATCACGTTGTGATTTTGCCATTTAGCCCAAACTCAAGCCATAGTCGCCTTAGCGATTTGGCATTTGACGCCGATGAAGGTGAATCGTCGAGAACCTATGGAGACACTCGTTGTGAACAGCCAGCTAAACTGTCTGGTAACCTAGTGGCAGAAAAAGTGC